TCCTAATGGATTTCTAGGTCTTTTTATTGGTGGTGTATTTATAGACATTTGGAGGTTATAAAGTCAACAGTGTTTCCACTGGTTTTCAGAGATTTTCAGAACTCAAGCTATCTGGCAATTTTCAAATTATATTAATGTCAAGAGTGTCCTTCCAAATACGTTCTATTCATTTTCAAGAATGGATAGAATTAACCGGCTAACTCCAGTTTCTCTGTGGGTCTAATCCCTGTTTCAGCATTTAAAAGCTCAGTAGACATCCCTATATCCTTCGATGAGGCTGCATTATTTGGTTACCCGTTGACTCTACAGGGGGGCTCCTATGCATCCACTGGCTCTCAGGCTGGTCCTGGAGAGGGAAAAGACTCTGGTTCTGTATCAGTTGGTCCTGATGTCTATCTTCATATTTGCTGCCTGGACACAGTGCCCGATTTCCAGTTCCTGGAATCCGGTCTCCTAATGCTCAGTGCCGAGGTCTTGTTCCCCTAAGAATGAGTCTGGATTTCTGTTCCTTCCTACTTTGCTGTACTCAGCTTTTCCACATTAACTTAGAATACTTGCATTCCCTTGTCAATATGAATTTTGTGTCATTTTTTAGATGATAAACATCAGGTTCCTTGATCTAACAGATCTTCTGGCGTTTTCTGGCTGCTCTGTCTTGTTTTTCTACCCCTTCTCCCCAACCCAAGTTGGACAGTGATGCTCAATGTTTAACTTCACTGACATCTGCAAACCAAGCTTGGGGTTTGCAATGGAAATGCTCTTTCTACCCCCACCACAAAAGAGAAGATTTTATTACTAACATTTTTTAAGGGTTTCCTGGGCAAGATGATTTTTAAAAATCAACTTTTATTCATTTTATTATTTTAAAACTATATTGCCTATTGCCCACTGTTCCATTCTTGGTATGTTGTTTCTCCATAAAAAGAATTAGGAGAGAAGATGCTACTGGTTTCTGACAAAAAAGGAGGATGGCAGATGGGAGAGTCCGCAACTTTTTTTTTTTTTTTGAGAGAGCGAGCGAGTGGAAAGAGAGGGGCAGAGGGAGAGGGACAGAGAGAATCTTAAGCAGACTCCACACCCAGCATGGAGCCCAATGTGGGGCTCGATCTCACGACCCTGAGATCACAGCCTGAGCTGAAATCAAGAGTCGGATGCTCAACTGACTGAGCCACCCAGGCGCCCAAGAGCCCCCAACTTTTAAATGCAGCTTCTCAAAACTCTGAACTATTTGCTACTAGAAGGGAAGTGGGAAGATTTGGGCAATGCAATCACAGAACTTTTCTTCAATAGTTGACAGCCTAATTCTAGTTACTGATCCTGCAACATAGTTTTAAAACCAGTTCCACTTTTTCTTTTTATTATTTTATCTTTGTCTAGATAACAGCCCAGACTTGTGAAAATATTATAGGCTTTTAGAATCAGATAGAATCAGCTGTAGTTCAAATTCTGATTTATGAGTCACACTGTCTGGATTATTTAACCTTTCTCAATGGACATAATGAAACAACCCCACATGTTAATCATGGGAGATTAAGTGAGATGATTTTTCATTCTTTTGTCATCAGCACTGGGTGCACTGTTACACACATACAAAAACGCACTGATAGTCACATATTCACGCTCAGGTAGGTCCAGATGCACCTGGCCGAGAGCTAACAAGGACAGCTCCCAAGGACATTCACTCCTACTCCTATTCTAAGCACTTTGCCCCTATCAGCTCATTGAAATACAACAGGAACTCTGGGGTGGGGACATTTAGTATCTTAACTTTACAGGGGACAGAAATGGAGAAATTGCAGTTTAAAAAGTCTTTAAAGGTGCAAAGAAGAGATGTCTAAGGAATACATTTGAGATAGCACTGGGGTGCGGTACCCTCGGCTCAAAGGAATGAGAGGAGCATGAAGGGCTCACTAACCCTTCTTGCTTCTCCCTTATTTCTAACCAATGGTCTTGCCAGAGGCAAAAATATAAAATAAGGCAAAACCCTCATTAGGTTGCTTCAATTTCCAATGCCATCATCATCATCATCATCATTATCTATATGCCAATAATAAGAAATTTAGAATTGCCGGTTCTTTGTTCATCCCCGATACCCTATAAAACCTAAAGAGCAAAATATTATACAGCGCACTCTTTATGTTGACTTTTTACTAAATATTTGCTTTTCTAATTATAAGAGGATCAAAATTATAACCCATGCTTCCTTCAATTTACCTAGCTTTTATTTAGTATTCATACACCTGTAACATCTTGGCAGCCAAGCATTGTAAAGGCTTTAATTTTCCCCATACCTGAAATAGGCATGGTAAAATCTATAGCTTTCTCTTACACCTCCTTCTGTATAGAAGGTGTGTTTCTCATTATGGCCTAATTTAGCTGAATTCTACCCCTGGAATTATAATCTATCTCTGCATCATCTTCCCTAACGATAGGTAAACACGGAATAATAAGATGATCAAGAAAAGGACAACCATCAATTTGGAAAGTAGAGTCTCACTAGGCAGGAACAGACTTTAAATGCCCCCCTGTGGGGCACTCTCTCTAGGTTTTTCCTGGCATTCAGTTCCACCTGGTTTCCTTTCACATTTCTAGCGTAAAAGTGGGCTCCACCATATTTTTCTCTGCAGTATGATTATTCCACAAATATTTTAAATGTACTTTAAGTCCAGCAAGTACTTATGAAATCAGTGGGTGTATGGTCCTTTAAAAATTCTACTTTGGAATTTTTTTTTCAATAGCCATTAAAAATCTAGCAGATAGCTCATGGTATAAAACAGCACTGTATAAATTTTCTAAAAAAATAAGCTAGTCTATTTATGATGATTAGAAATCTCAAATTAGGCATGTAAGAGGATATCTAATTTATATTCCTCCTAATGCATTTCCTATAAGGTACATTGTTTTATCCTATGCAAGGATCTCTTTATTTTGTCTTTCCCTCTCTCTGGCCATGTCATCAACACTCCTGCCTCAGCACATAACATGTTTCCTTGTCTGGACCCTAAACTCAACACCCATAAACCTGAGTAAACATGAAAACTGCCTCAGACACCTATTCAAGATACAGACGGATATTAAAAACACCTGGCCTTGAAATTGTATTACTTTATACATTTATCGCTGAAATTTCATAAGCAAGTTCTGTTTAACAGAATTTGTGAACCAGGAATGTTTTGTTTATACATGAAGGATGGAAAGCCAGTCTTGAGTATCGGGGAAATTGTAAATCCACTTTGTAAGTTAAAACTGGCTGATAGTTATGTATCACTATATGGAACTGTCCGTGGTGTAAAAAACATACAGAAAAATCTGAGGATCCTGCAGGATATTGCCATGCATTTTGTGTGTGTGTGTGTGTGTGTGTGAGGTGTCCTAGCTTATCTGAAGGGAAAGGAAACTTGATGTCTGTGAAATCCGTATTCTTAAACCTTGAGGCTGTTGTGGTATCCTCAGGAAAACACCACATTTCTTCTTTTCTCAAAACCTGATGCTTATATTTAACTTACGGATCCCCTCGCTTTTCCAAGGAAGACTCTATTTATCTGCTTATCACTCTCATTCAGTTGTAAGAGTTTAGGGCCAAAATAACATGACTACTTTAGGCCAAGAAAGCTATCACAGCAAATCAGGGGTTCACAGAGGAAGGGGACTGGTCATTGCTGAGATTAGTGCAGTAGAGTCCCAGCCTGGAGAAAGCAACGCACTGGCAAATTCAGGCCAATCGCTCTACTTCCTGGAAATGACTGAGTGTAACAGTGACAAACTCACTGTAGTGTCTCTCTGGTTTAAGATCAGACTTTCGGCTACCTCTATCATAAATCATATAACAACAAATTATAAGGAAGTTGAAGATAATTTATAAGAACTCATTTTGTACAAGGCAAATCCCTCCTATATACCGCACAGTGAATGTTCACCCCTCCGAAGGGACTCACTAAAATATTTAGCACTGGCTGCAAGTTATACATAATGGAACTACAGAACATGTTTCTCTAAAGGAGAGACACCTTAATGAAAACACCCTCTGGGATAATAAGATGAAACTACAATGTTTCTTTCCAAGTCATCTTATGTGTAGATCATACTATAACACGAAGGAGCAGTTTAAATGGATTAGTAAAGAGAAAATAAAAGCCTACAGTTCACTACTATTTATACTAAAAGCACTTTCTGTCCTTTATATTAAAAAAACCCACGTACCCCAACATTGTGTAATCATGTGAAATTATGAAAAGTTACAGAGTTATTCATTAGGTAGCTATGAGGCTGAATCACTCAAGAGATTGCTCTGATTTTAGTAAGAAATTCATTAGGAGTTCAACAAATCAGACCCCAAAAATGGTGATGGGTAACTATTTTCAAAGTTCTTCCACTATTTAGTTGGACAAATTAAAGTGCTTCCACTAAAAACCACTGGTCATTTGGTAATAGCTAGAATATTTACAAGTATTCCTTCAGAATTAGAGGGACCTACCTTATTTGACAATGCAGTGCAAAAACATATTAATCATCATTTAACTGATAATGCAATGCATATTTTAACATAATTTACTTCTTCTTCTTAACTGTCAAAGGAAAATTCTTGGTTTATATTGGAATCCTGTTCTCTAAGAATGATTAATTATGTTTGAAAAGTTGCCAGGAGCTCAGCAATTTAATTCTGTAATAATAATGAACTTGAAGAATTAGCTCTACAGCTACCAAGTTTAATTTAAAAAAAAAAAACTGCATCCTAGCAATTTAAGATAATTTATGATTAAAAAATATTTGTGGATGTTGCTGGAGTGGAGGGGGGTGGGCGGGATGGGGTGGCTGGGTGATGGACACTGGGGAGGGTATGTGCTATGGTGAGCGCTGTGAATTGTGTAAGACTGTTGAATCTCAGATCTGTACCTCTGAAACAAATAATACATTATATGTTAATAATAAATATATATATATATATACACACACACACATATATATAAAATATTTATGGATGAGTAACTAAACCCCTTTACCTTATAAATATCCAAAAATCCACACTGGTGGTCAAACCTGGTGTACAGTTCATTCAGCATGCTGATCACCTGCATGGGGGTGCACTGAGCACAGATGGCTGTGAATCCAACAATGTCCGAGAAGAGCATGGTGACGTCGTCAAACTTCCTGGCCTGCACCTGCTGTCCTTGCCACAACAGCTGGGCGACGTCACCAGGGAAAATAGAATACAGAAGATCGACTGTTTTCTTTTTTTCTTCTTCCAGGGCCTGGTGAGTTCTTTCCAAGGTTGCCTTTAATTTATCCATCCTCTTCTTCAAGCCATCCTGTGCCTTTGCCTGCTCACCAACCAGAATGACGTCTCGGGTGGCATCATGGATCGGGATGTCCGAGAGATGCAGCCCTCGGCCCATGAGTTCGTCCAACTTGTCCACGCACGGAGAGCCCAGGAATAAGATGGAATTTGATTCTGGGACATGGATCATCTGTCCTTTGACTTCCATCACCTGCAGAAGGAACATGAAATTTTAATCCGTGCTCTTCTTCACATAGTAGGTTCACAAAAATTTAACTTACTATCTGAAGAGGAGGAGCAAGAAATGTACCATGAGCTATGCTGAATTTCTGCATCTGTAGGAGCAAATTTCAGTATGGTTTACAGCCCATGTAAAATTCACCGTTCTGAATGGAAATCTTTGTTACCACACCCCACTTGGCCACTTTTTAAAGACAATGATGAAACAAAGAGTGAGATCAATGAGAAATGAATCTGGGAAACATGTTTTATTCAAAATGAAATTACACTCAGGCACAGCACGAAACAGGCTCATGAGTCAGTTTAACACCTTTCAGCCTGCTTAATAATAAAATTGGGACAAATCCATCTGTCAGAACAACTATAGTCAACTGTCATTAAAATAACACTCAGGGGAAAAAGTCCAGAAGATTAAAATAAATCAAAATAATTGTTTGGCCTTAAGTAAGTCATTTTTCAAGCAGTTTGTAGACCTTTGAATATACAGTAGTTCTTGCACTGACTAGGGAATGATTCACTTAATCTTAAAAATAAAAACGAGACATGATAAGTCAGGATTATGAGGAAGCAACTATCAGTCAACTGGCATGTTCACTATAAGCTGAAAATAAGCCCCCACGTCAGACTAGAACGAAAGGAATTCAGGTAAGAAGATAAAGAATCTGAAGAGGGTCCCTCCTCTCTGTGCTCTTTGACTGGAGAACTTGGGGGACTGAGGTTTCGTGTTTTCCCTTAGGGAACAGATTGATGCTATCTCAGCTTGGCGCCCTCCAAGGCCCTCCAAGGCAAGGAGCAGCCACAGGAAAGGAAGCACACTTAGGATGTGTCTATACAGATACAGTTATCCGGGTCAGAGTAGGGGATCTCAGCACACCTGGAGAGGAGAGTGGGTGGAATGACCTAGAAAGGACAGCCTCGGAGCTGACCAGCCAAGACTGCACATCCATTTAACCTAAGTCATCTTCCACTGCCAAGTGGAATGTGCTCAATAAATTTATTTTCCTCTATTCTTTTTTTTTTCCAAATATTTTTTTTAAAGATTTTATTTATTTGTCAGAGAGAGAGAGAGCGAGCAGGAGAGCACAAGCAGGGGGAGTGGCAGGCAGAGGGAGAAGCAGACTCCCTGCTGAGCAGGGAACCCGATGCGGGACCCGATCCTAGGACCCTGGGATCATGACCTGAGCCGAAAGCAGATGCTTAACCAACTGAGCCACCCAGGTGTCCCATTTTCCTTTATTCTTCATAAGCATGAAGTAGCTAGGCTGGTTGATGAAACTAGAGGCACAGAACAAATATGCGATAAAACTGCACGCATTTGGGTTTTGAAGCCTACATCTATCTTGTACTTCGTTCCCCCTTCACCGTTCACTAAGATCCAGTACAGGCACGGAAATAAAATTGAGTCCTTGCTTGACGCTGTAATTTTTACGAAATGAAATGTTCGCTTCATCTTCTGTGAAGTTTCTGCTAGTATTTCCTCCTTTGGTACATAATACTCTCATTTGTTCATTGAGATATTTGTTTTCTCTTCACTCACACTGCTCTGGGTGATAAGCATAAAATGATAAAAGAAGATTCCCCATCTCCGAGATACCAAAGGATGGTGGTGGGGGCCAGAGAACAGTGTGCAGAAGACACTTCCAGTTCCCACGCAAGGTGGGCTCCCAAGCCTGCAGACTATGGTCTGACTACAGACAGAAATAATTGTTCTGAGAAGAATTTCCAGGTCGTTTTCTACCTACCTAGTATGCTTTTTGGGGGAAGGGTATTGTTAATGATACATACTTTCCCATTGTTGGGATGGTGAAGGTGTCATAAGGAAGACACAAAATGTACAACATCGTAGCTAAAAACTGAGCATATTCAACTTATTCTTAAGATTTACGGTAAAAGCAAACCTCTGATACTCAGGGATTTAGACTTGTGTGTGGTCTCTCTCTCTATTTCTCTCCCCCCCCCCCCCCCCCCCGCCATTTCTAGTTATTCTCTTTTTCTTCACCATCTAGCTTTCTTCTCCCTTCTGTTCTGGGGACTTACACTTCCTTCCAGCATCCTCTCTCCACTCAGTCTTTGTCTCTTCTGCTGCCTGTCTCCCCCTCCCCCCCATGCACTCCTTCCCCCTTCCCTCCTTTCCTCAGTGCCTTTCTCTTTGCTCCTCCTTCCAAAGTATCAACCTCCACGTGTCCCATCACAAATGGACCCTCTTCTTTTCTTCCTTTGCCTCCATCTCTCTCTTTATGTCAAATGTGGAATCAGCCTATGTGTATATGCACTAATAACATTATGTATTATTTGCTATATGTAATAAATAATAGTGTTTTCATTTAACTTACAAAGAAGCTGAGTCAAATATCTAATATTCCTATCTCAAAAATATAAAACAAGTAGGTTCATGATCTATGTGTGGCCATTAGTTGGTTTGTTTTGTTTTTGTTTTTGTTTTTTTGAAATCTCTGAATCAGCAGAGCCTGAGAAGGGAAAAAGTAACTGCTTACCTCCTACACTACAGAATAGCAACTCGTAAAGAACCCCAATGTATCCAGGAAATAACTTCCTTTTTTTATATTTTTCATCAGTGAATTTTTCCCATATTTAATAAATGGGCAAATGCAACTGGAGTATTTGTGTCTCTATCATAAATGCATTTTTACTTTAATTGGTAATAACAAATTATTCCTCCTGATTTCCTTCTGTTCCATTGTAATTATAAATTCAGGAATTCACCATGATCCTCACTTGTTCATCTAGCAATGTGCAAAACTATTATAGAAACTATATATTCTTATGTAGAAGAAGATTTGTGGAAAACTGCATAAAATGGAAACATCTAAGTTTTTACTGCATCTCAAATTATACTAAAATTTAAATGAAAGAGCATAATGACTAAGAAAAACTATCAGATTTAAAAACTATCAGATTTCAAAAACTAGTAAGCATCATACAAAGGAGTATTTGACTGGGCAAAAGGGTTAAAGTCATCCTTTTACAAAGTTTGGTGATCAGGTTCTATTAAACCAGGTGGGTTACTTTTATTTTTATGCACAGATAGCTCTATAAAAATATTTACCACTATAAATAATAATTAATTGAAAATTGAATATGTCTGGATCATACAATTGTACATCCTTGTATTTCTGCATATCCTGAACATGGACTAACAAACCCATGCTCCCATGGAGACTCAAGTCTCGCCAAGATAATCATTGGTGGCATGGTTTTGTCCAATGGTTAGCAAAGAGGATTTGTAGAAAGTCCGACCTGGGTTTGAATTCCAGCTCTCTTGAACTTACATGGGCAAACCGACTCAGTTACTTATACTTTCAAAGCTTTGGTTTATCTCTAAAATGGAGATGAAATGATAATGATGTTGATGAGGACGTGCACCCAGCTAATTCATCACATGTGCTGAGTGCTTGCCACCAGGTAGGTACTACGCCGACTTAACAGACATGTTGTTATTAAATTTTACTTTACCCTATTACTGTCCTCATTTTTTAGATGAGACTTAGGGAAGTAAGAGACTTGCTTAGAATGCACAGGCTAATAAACAGCAGGGTCAGCATTTAAACCCAAGTTGGATGGACTCCAGAGGATGTGCTCTTAACCACTGAAGAAGCAGGATGGGTAAGGGTGTTGGGTGGGGGCCGAGGGGGCAGTAATAATTCTACACGCAAACCAATGTGATAGCAAAATACCCTTAATGAGATATTCACAACAGGCAGGAGAAAAGACAGAAGTTGCTGCTCTTGATGCAGATTTAAATAGCTACCTGCATGCCTCTCGCCCTACATCAGTGTAGTGGAAGAGTCACTTCGAGATGTGATTTTGGATATTTCAGATCTTTAGGGTATAGCTTACGCAAGCAGAGGCAGAATGATTCGTCCCTGGTGTCCAGGTGGGCCTTTGTTCTCACAGAGGAATATTCACTTTGAAGAATTAGATCCAGAAGGAAAAAAAAGAAAGAAACACTAGCAGACACATGCGCAGCCTGAGAGACTTGTATGTCCTCACAGTGCTGAGGTTCTCCTGCTCTCAAGGCCCCTCCCGAGGCACATGGCAGGAGCCACCAGGAATAAGGATCTCGCCACCAGGGCCCCGTCAAGAAGTACTCGTTTCCCACATGCTTGGGAAAAACCTCCTCTTTTGCATAAAGGTACCAGGGCATCTCACCTCTGGGAGCTAGTTCTTCCCCCTCAAGCAGCATTAACAAGAGCCAGTGGGAGCCCCCGATGCATTAAATGAACCCAACAGATGAAAAGAGCACCATGTAAGCTCTGAAAATTAGTCATTACAGCCACTGCCCACGCAAGGAGGCCAGGACCCGCATGCCAAACCTAAACAGAGCGACCACTTGTGAAAATAAAAACTGCAACAGGCTCTCCTATCTTCTAACATAACAGCCAAACTGTCCAGGCTGCAATAGGAAGCCACGCGTCATAATACGAACCAGGAAAATCACATCTTGAATGAGAAAAGGCAATCAATCCATGCTAACGCTGAAATGGATCAGATACTGGAATTATCTGTCAAGAATTTTAAAGAACCCATCATAAAATGTTTCGACAAGCAATTACAAATTCTTTTGAGGAGAACAAAAAATTAGAAAATCTTAGTAAAGCAATAGAAGATATAAAAATAACCAAGTGTTGATCAAAGAGCTGAAAAATGCCACGAAAGTAGAAAATTGGCTGGGTGGACTCAAAATGAGAGTAGACATGATGGGACCGATCAGTGAATTTGAGGATAGTTTGAGAGAATTTACTCAGTCTGAACAGAGAGAGAAAACAGACTAAAATAAATAAATAAAAATAAACAGAGCCTCAGAGACCTGCAGAACAACAACAACAACAACAAAAATCCAACCTTATATTATGGGAGTCCCAGGAGGAAAGGAGAAAGAATAGGACTGAAAAAGCATTTGGAAACATAATGGCTGAAAAAATCTCTAATTTGATGAACAATATAAATCCA